GTTTAGAGAGAAAAATCTCCCTTTCAAGGGAGACTCAATCGAGTTGGTTTTCCTTCCGCTTTCTAAGCCACCTAATCTAGGTTGAGTTAGGGCAACCCTCAATATTGAATTGAACAAGTCGATTAATCGTGGTTAACCCGTCCGACCTTAGAGTTGAGTGATGGAGTTAGTCGATTACCGATTGTCTAAACCGAGAGGGTCGAGTGACACGGCCTTTCATCCTCACCTCGGTTTAGCAATTAAGACTGTGGTCTCCGACCACATACGCTTTCCTCTGCGGTTCACGATTAACGTGCCCAAGGCAATCATTCCAATCCACGTAGCATGGTAGCCGTTAGGGGGAAGCAAAACCCGATGTAGGGGTAGACGGACCGGCCCGGGTCGATATATAAATACTTTCCCTATACTGCATCCGGGTTCAAGAGGAGTCTCCAAACTTGCTTAGCTAGAAGATCCCAATTGAACTCTTTGAACGATCTAAATCCAATCCCTCCTTTCTCTTTTGGAGCGCACAAGAATTTTGCGTCGCTCCAGTGGAAAGATTTCTTCTGGAGGGAGCCTGACCAGAAGAATTTTCGAAGAAGGGAGTAATTTTTTTTGTTATGGAACCCGACATGAGAAAAGAGAAGGCTCTTTGTTTCATAATTTCCTGGATCATTGCTTTCAGAAGAGTCTCTTTTCCTCACTGGGACAGTAAAAGCCTCTTCCAGACTTCATCTTTTCTCTCCATCAGAGTGATCAGAAAACATAAGATTTTTTTATCTGCCCCATTTTGTTGGCACCCCAATGTAGTTAGCATGGCAGATGGAGGAGTCAAAACCAAAGGTGTGAGTGAATTGAGCTTTGGTCTCATTATTGACATTGCAACTAAGGAAGATGGACGCCTTAAGTTGTTGACTTCTTGGTCGGTGATATTATTGTAGTCCGAGATGATATTCATAGTAGCTTCCTCATCAGAAGCTTAGACAAAGATGACGGTGTATATGAAAAAAGGCAGTGGGTGAGAACATGACAGTTACAATTCATCTTAATTCCTCTAATAGAATTTGACATTGTTATTTTATCTTTAAGAAAAGTAAGAGAACTAGATAAAAGGATGAAAAGAAGATGTGAGAGAGGGCCCCCTGGCAAGTTCCTGTTGAGAGTGAAATTTTGGTGATGCTTCACCGTTGAAAAGAATCAAAAGATGGATTATTCTTATACATTCATTGATCAAGACACACCATTTGGGATCAAAACCATAGAGTTGAAGGATCTTTTCCAAGCAGTTCTAATAAACCAGAACATAAGCTTTTCTCGTATCGAGTTTGAGCATCATGTCATGTCGGTTCCCTATTATGCTTCTGGAAGTGGTTCAAGACTTCATGAACAATGATGAAATTGGTATGAACTTATACCGAAAGTTGCAGCAACTGGTGTGGCAAAAATGCCTTATGTCCTCAAGAGCATCAACTTTGGGGATTAACGAGATATGAGTGTCATTCCACCCCCTCCGTGAGACGATTGGAATCAAAGAAACCACGAACTTCCTCACAAAATCGTTCTCCAACTAATGGCCAGAAATTCTCGAAGAAAAAGCCAAGGAACCCATCTGGTCCCAGAGCCTTAGAATAGCCAAGTTGGATGATGGACATTGTTGATGCATATATTTCCACCAAGTAGGTCATCAGCCAAGTGGATGTTCTTTAATTTGGACGACGCTGGGAAGATGTCACTAATCGATTTGGAGTTTTGATGTGGAGTTGGTTTTGTAGCCACTGAAATGCGGAGGCAAAGAGAAAATAAGGGAGACTAAGATATTCTACCCAAGTTGTAGCAAGATAGTGACTAGTGAGCAGTGTGATAGACCTTAAAAAGTTGTGCAGAATAAAAAAAAAAGGGTGTGACATTTGGTTACGGAGCACAAAGTTATGATCGTTCAAAGTTTGGTGAAATCGAAAAATTGCTCGTTCGGGGTAGCAAACTATGTTTTTTCGGGACAAAGGCGGGACCATACCGACTTCGGTAAATTGCTACTTGCAAGATCTCAAAAAATTATACGGAATCAAACAAAATTTCACTAAGATCGGATAACCAAGCGCAAAGTTACGTTCGTTTGAAGTTTCACTTAGGTTAGCAAAGCACGTTCAAGGCGGAAACTCCAAAAATACTGATTAACTGAAAAACGACATCGGAAGCAATCGATGGAAGGGAATTTGCATTCGATAAGGGAATTAGAGTGATGGAAAGGAGAATATAAGTGAGGTGCGGCCAAAAAGCATTGTCACTATAAGTATTTTTTTTATGATATAAAATACCACCATTCATAAAATAAAAATACATACAGCAGGTTCAACGTTGAGGCCAACAATAAAAATTAAATTATTAATATAAAAGACGTCTAAAAATATCCATTTTGATATTTTTTAAAATTTCATTTTTTATTCATATTTTATATTATAAATTATTTTAGTCATTTTACATGACCAATGATGTTAGAACGTACTTTTAATAGTTTATCAACCATACACTCTACTGTCTTTTTTAAGTGCTTCTCTAAAATTCTAGCTAGAAGCTACTTTATAAGAGTTACAACCATCCTCCCCTATTTTTGCTTAAGTCCCACGCGCTTACGATTTGATTTGAATTTAATTAAATTTAAGAATTATGAGAAAATTACTTAAATAAGGTTTGGTAGGCGTAGGGATGGAAATTTGAACCGTCTTGCTGGGTATTACCAAATCAGACCGACGATGGAGTCGGTATTACCCGCCCACAGTAGCGTGGGGAAGGGGATGAGTATCTACATCCGATTTGTCCGACCCTGCCTGTTCTTGACTCATTCTAGCTACGAGAAAATTCTAATTACATCAACATACAAGAATACCATATAATCCAATCCAACTTTAAACCACTAACCATACATTAGAGTCTAAAAACATCGAGGGTGAAAATTTTGAAATGATTCTTTATAGGAAGAATTATGTAGATTAGAATCTTGTACTAGGAAAATCTTAATTGCATTTTTCATAATTTTTAATGAAAAATTAGAATATTTTACTTTTAAATTAAATACCTAATGGGTTACCTATCTGACTCGCGCCCCATGATAAATTTTCAACCTGGACTCAAACTGCCACTGACCAGGTATGGATATCGAGATACCCGCCTCAGACCTGCCTCATTGTCATTCCTACATCGACTGTGGTGAATTTTGGCTACTGCCAAAATGTGTCTCGTTAGGAACAGTATCCACACTCATGTTGACGAGAATAGATCTTATGCAAAACTTACATATGCATAACATTGCATAACCAACACATACCATAATGGAAGATAAATAACTTTTTCCTCAATTTAGTTTAATGGGTTATATCTCTTTCATTTTAAGTCATTTTAAGTCGTAATTAAAAAATTTAACAGAAAAATCAGATTAATTATGATTTTTAAAATGACATCCACTTCTATATATTTACAAACAGAAAAGTGAGACATTTATTATCAGTCCATACCATGTGGTAATGCTTGGTAGTAAATAAGATTATACCACGTGATATTAAAGTGTACCATAGTAGTATCAATATACCAGAGTATAGAATAGTTGTGTACATGATAGTATGAATATATTAATGGTCATTTACCACTTTCCATCACCATCTACTACTAGTTACCAGCATATACCAAGATGATATAGAGTGATATATTTGATCATTAAATCCCCCCTGTGAAATTTGTAAATCCAACAAACCATGATGAACGCGTTTCTTGTAGGCTAGTATTTTCAAATTCGAGTTAAAAACAAAGGTGGTACCGGTACGAGGCAAGTAACGAGTGGTATGGGTGGTTTGAAAAAAAGAATTCTCAAAAAATTTTAAAAATTTATATAATTTTGTAGATTGCAACAAACTCATTTCATTCGTAAAAAAATTTAAAATCCAAATTTAAATAAAGAAGATCAAAATAAATTTAAAAATAGGATAAAAAATAAATAAATTTTAATTTCTCTCTTTAGACCTAGTCCTAGGGGTGAGCAGTAGGAGGTTTTATATGGATTTGGGTACGTTTGGAACCACCCACTACGTGGTGGGTGACAGAGAAAATGACCCACACCCACCCAAGCATTACATGTGGGTGGACTGGGTGATTGTGAATGATGGGTGGTTGGGTGGATTCGATGGATCTACAACATATATTCCATATGATCACATAATTCAATTTTTTAAACTTAAAATGAATTTCAAACTAAATAATGCTTAATCCATTAATCAGCAGAATTGTTTATTTTACAATATTGGTATTGGTAGTTGTCCATAAATTATAAAATATTCAACTGATAAACATGTTCTAAGCGTGATAATAACAAAGGTTCAAGAAGGCACTAGGCATAAGGACAATGTTTTGGTCTTGCCTAGCGCCTCATTTGCCTAGGTGTTGTGAGCGTAAATAGCTTTTAAACTCAAATTACAATTCCAAATTGATGGAAGGAATGAAAGGACGAATCGGTGGTAGTTTGAGATGGTATCATTTTGGGGAAGACAATTGTATTTTCCTGCCATTTGTCTACTAGTTATGCTTATGTGTATCTCCAATTACCTAAGCACATCTCACAACACAAATCCTTTGAAGAAATTGAGAGAAATTTTTATGATTTTAATGGTTTCATTTTTTATAAAACTATATGTTAGAGTTGCGATGGTTTAAGGTTAAAAAGTTGTGTGGGTCGTGGATCAACCATAGTCCACCTACATCTACCCAATCTTTTGTGGATCACCAATTTTATAACCCACACCCATTCAAAGGAACCACCCACATTATAAAGGGTGGGTCGATTGCAGGTGGATTTGTGGGTTGAACCAGCTCACCCCTACCTAGTCCCACCTAAAATCAAGGGTTCTGGTTATCCAAAGCAAGAGTTATCCTTCCCCTGTGTTAACAGAAGCGTCTATTACCAATTCAGCATCTTGATTGGGCCCAGCCCAATCGCATTTTAAGGTTAAACAAACAAAGCCCACAAAAAGACCGCCCTCAGACTACTACCTCCCTAAGACTGGGCCCAATCAAATGTATGCCTGATCTCCGCCGTTCCATTCCCAACTGAAATATTTATCCTTATAACTGTTCCCTCGACCTCCCGCCGGCCACATCATCTAGTCCCCAATCTCGGCGTTATCAATCGCTCGCTTCCCAGCTATCGTGGGGGAAAGTTGATCGGAGAATCTCTTTGCGGGCGATTGAAGGAAAAAGGGTTCATGAATGTGAAATACAGTCTTCTAGGGAGAAGGTTCTCCCTCGGATTCATTCTCCAGAGTAGCAATCGGGGCTTTTGGCGGCTGTTCAGTTCAACGAATGAGAGTCTTTCCACCGTTACTGAGCTCATATCAAAGCAACATTGGTCAAGTTTGAAACTTCATCTCCGAGACTCGGATCCCAATGCGGTCCTTCGTGATTTACTCGATTCTGGAGCTAAACCTGAGCTAATTCTCAGCTACTTCACTTGGTCGAGGAAAGAGCTAAAGCTGGCACACTCCTTGGAAGTCACTTTCAGGCTCTTGCATTCACTTGCTTATGCACAGAACTATCCGAAGATCAGGTCTTTTCTGCACAACTTTGTTAAGAAGGAGAAATGTTCTGTTTCTTCTATTCTTCATTCGGTTTCAATTTGCAGCGGTTCGTTTCAGGTCAATTCTGTGATAGTCGATATGTTGGTATTGGCATATGTGCAAAACTTGAAAAGCCGATTGGGATTTGAAGCTTTTAAGAGAGCTGGTGATTATGGGTTTACATTATCGGTGGTAGCTTGTAACCCCTTGTTGAAAGCTCTGGTCAAGGATGGTGAAGTTAACCGTGTAGAGTTTGTGTACAAGGAAATGGTTACGAGAAGGATTAAGCTGAACCTGGTTAGCTATAATACTGTGATTAACGGTTTCTGTAAAGTAGGGAAGTTAAACAAGGCTCGTGATGTCATTGAGGACATGAAAGCTGTGGGTGTTTCCCCAAACGTGGTTACTTACAATACTCTCATTGATGGATATTGTAAGATGGGAAGAATTGGGAAAATGTATAAAGCAGATGCCATCTTGAAAGAGATGATAGCAAATGGGATTCCCTCAAACGAGGTTACGTACAATATTCTAATTAATGGGTTTTGTAAGGATGATAATGTGTCAGCTGGCGTGCAGGTGTTTGCTGAAATGGTAAGGCAAGGTTTGAAACCAAATGCGATTACCTACGGTGCCTTGATCAATGGTTTATGTGGTGGTGGGAAAGTGGGCGAGGCTCTTGGTTTATGGGAGCAAATGGTTGGTTCAGGTGTAAAGCCAACTATTGTTACTCATAATGTACTAATAAAGGGTCTTTGCAAGAACAAGATGCTGAAAGAAGCAAATGAATTGTTTGATCACATAGAAAAACAAGGAATAGCTCCTAACGTGACTACTTATAACACGATGATCGATGCTTATTGCAAGGATGGGGAGATCGAGCAGGCATTTTCCTTTCGCGACTCCATGGTGAAGAAGATGGTTTCCCCTACTGTTTCAACTTACAATTGCTTGATTTCTGGTTTGTGTAGAGAAGGGAAAACAGTGGAAGTGAAAAGTGTTTTGGCAGAAATGAATCATAGAAACTTGAGGCCTGATGTTGTTACATATAACATACAAATAGATTCATTCTGCAAGAAAGGAGAGTCAAGAAAGGCAGGACATCTCTTGGATGAGATGGTCAGGAAAGGAGTGAGTCCAAGCCATGTGACATTTAACACATTGATGGATGGCTACTGCCACGAGGGAAATCTACGAGCAGCACTGAAGGTGAGAGAACGTATGGAGGAGGAAGGGAAGAAGGCGAATATTGCCACCTACAATGTCCTTATAAAGGGTTTTTCCAGGAAGGGTAAGCTGGAATATGCCAATGAACTTCTTAATGAGATGCTGGAGAAGGGGTTGGTTCCAAATTACGTAACCTATGAGATTGTTAGGGAAGAAATGCTGGAAAAAGGCTTTGTTCCCAGCATTGAAGGACATCTATTTAACGTCCCATGAAACTCTTTTAAGTTTTCTCAAAGAGAATGAAGTCTGTTTACCAGAGTCATAATGTAGAGCTCTTCAACACACCCAGTCGGAGAGCTCTGCTTCAGGTTAGCACTATGGCATGTCATTCAAGGGATTGAGTTCTCCTGAGTTCGGCTGAAGATGGGTGTGGTATGCAGCCTTGGTACTTGACAAGCACAAGTGTGAAAATTCTACCGGCTGATTCTGACTTCTGAGCATTCGGCAGCGTCTCGGGTATGATTCATAATTGTTTCTATTCAGATCAAATTTCATTTGGCATCTGATTCTCCCCCTGTGCGTTGTCAAAGGCTTTAGTTGTGAATCTTAGTTTTTGCATTTGCATGTATGTGGATAATTGTGTCCTTTCGGAAACGGTTTGCTTATCAGCTGTGGACACCGACAAGAATTATTGATTCTTCAGAAACCTCTCGTAATTTGTTTAGTTACTCTTTTCATGGTAGGATATGTTCCTCAACTGGCGGGCTTAATAGGTACTGGGGAATTTGTGCATACATGAAATTACTGCTCTTTGTTATCGGCAGAGTTCGGAATGAAATGACTGCTCGACGGTCTCATTTTGGATTTGATAATCACTTGCTTGTCCATTGGCAGGGATCCGCGCTTTGAGAAACTGAAGGAAGTTATATTTGCTGATTCCTTGAAGCACCCCAACTGCAATATGGGGAAGAATATCAGTCTGCTACTCTCCTACAGAACTACACGATGAGGGACGTAGGTACACGCCAGGTCTTGACCAGATCAGAAACCGAATCGCCAATCAAGGGCAAGTGCGAATTAAGCATGTTTATGACTAACAAAATGATGTTGCTGACTAGTTGGTCAACTTGAACCATTCTATCACGTTTGGATCATGGATTATGAATTATTTCGATCCAACTCTGTGTAATTGGATTAGTTGTATATAAGGGGGCTAAAAAGCTTTGAATAAACGAGTTTTTTTTTAATATCATAGTCAGGTAGTAGATAGACAGAGAATGAACAGAAAATAACTCCGGTTTTCTCGGAGCCCGGAAATCGCTTGCGATTAGGGTTTTTTCGCGTGGTTACGTGATGCCGGCGGCAAGCTCGCCAGCTTCATCGGTCCCATCACCGGAGGAGTCCAGACCACCGGACGGGATAGGGGGTGTGCGGCGATCCCCGGAAGTCTCTTCGTCACCTGACGGCAAGAAAGACAGGGAGACCCAACAACCAAAAAAGAGAGTCCGATCTCTGAATCTACAGGGGAGGATGGGAAGCAGTACGATGTGGTGGTTGAGGATATCACAGAGGAGGAGCTGAGTAAAGGAACCGAAACCATACAGACTGAACTGATGACGACATCGCAACCAACTCATGTTAACCCGCAAACTCAGCCTATGGCTTGGAGAGTGGGAAGGAAGAAATTGTTCAGCGAGGCGGTCAGGGAGGAAATATGGTACGTAGGGGAGTCGGATTCCGAGGAGGTGGTCGATGAGATGAGAGACGAAATCCATCAGGAAGAAAGCATGGAAGAGGACCCCCGCTGCGCCACTATCTACTTCTCGCATGAGGAGTGGAAGTGTTACAGGCGTGAATGGAAATCGGCGCTAATGGTCAAGGTCCTAGGGCGCTCGTATTCATACCCGATTATAGCAAGGCGACTGAACATGTTATGGGCAAAGAATGGTGTGATCCAGATCACGAACAGGCCGAATGGGTACCTATTTGTTAGGTTCACGAACAAACTGGGCTACGACTTTGCTCTAACAGGAGACCTCTGGTTGATTGGTGATAATTATATTACAGTACAGAAGTGGAAGAAAGGGTTCAATCCCAAAAACTGTAGCATAGACTCCACGGCGGCCTGGATCAGGCTACCAAATTTACCTATTGAGCTGTATAATCCCGAAGCAGTCTTACGTATAGCGAAGAGAGCTGGGACACTAATCCGTGTGGACAGAGCGACCGAGCTAGGAGCCCGAGGGCTCTTCGCCCGTGCCTGTGTTCAGATGGACTTGACAAGGCCGTTGCTGTCAAAGTATAAGGTGGAGGGTGTTGAGTACGAGATCAAATACGAAGGCCTAAAGAACATTTATTTCGAGTGTGGGAAGTATGGACAAGTTAAAGCCCGATGTCCCACGCTCCATTTCAAGGAGAAACAATGTCAGGAAGAAGACCCGGAGCCTTACGGGGAGTGGATGATAGCTAAGCGACGAGAGCGTCGCCCTAACAGAAGGATGGAAGCAGGGAAGGGGGTAGAGCAGGGGTTGAGAAATTCGAAGGAGACTAATACCCAATCTGGTTCCAGGTTCACCATCCTCAATCAAGAAGAAGAGACAACCGCGACGTCGGGACAGCAAACTGAGCAAGCAGAGTGAAGGAAGGAGACACCCCGAGAGGCCCAAACACAAAAGAAGAATACCCACAATGCAATAACATCGAAAACCCAACAAGTGTGGGTAGAGACTAGAGAGCACGCCTATAAGGCTCGAGACAACACAAAAGGAGGTTGTTGAGTGCACAGAGCCGAGCACGAAGTTCACACCAGCGGAGAAGAATGAAGCATATGTCAGTGAAGTACAAGCCAGGACCGAGAAACTTCCAGTTACACAGGATCGCTCTGAAGCATCGTTTGATAATACGAACCCGATGGAACAGAGTATAACTGTAAATCAACAAGAACGAGTTATGGAGTACAATATGGCGGATGGGGAGAGGTCTCCGCCTACACATACCATGCATAACTCGCTACCGTTACAGATGGACACTTTGATGAGCGAGGACTCAGGAGAAAATGTGGAGAGTGGTACGCTGGAGAGCATCCCCCGGGGGGGTGCAACCAATCATCACCTAAGGGAATCCGAGAAACCCTACCCTTCCTGACGGTTTGATGGATTGGAGAATTTTCACGTGGAATTGTAGGGGTGCGGGAAGCGATCGCTTCCTACGAGTGTTTAAGGAATACAAGAGGAAACATAGCCCACATATGGTAGTCATCGTTGAGCCGAGAATTAGTGGTGATGATGCGACTAAGGATATCAACCAAATGGGTATGGATAAGTTTTTTGTGGTAGATGCCGAAGGCTTCTCGGGCGGAATATGGCTGTTGTGGGATGAGTCGGCAGTTCAGATTACTGAAAAGAACTGCACCAATCAATTACTCCATGTCCACGTCCAAATGGGGCCTGCCCAATTTCTGTTCACGGCAGTGTATGGCCATCCGACTTTGATCTAGAGACGGTCGTTGTGGGAAGCCTTACGTTCAACGGCAGAGGAGGTTGAGATGGCGTGGCTACTAGCGTGCCCCATTTGATGCTAGTAGAGTGAGGGGAGTTTCAGGATTGTTTGTTGGATACTCGCCTAGTGAACTTGGGGTTTGCTGGACCGCCTTTCACTTGGTTTCGTGGGGGGGGGGGGGGGCAAAGAGAGGCTTGACCGTGATTTAGCAAATCTACTGTGAACAATCCAGTTCCCGGACACGACGTTGCGTCACCTGCCTCGGGTTAAGTCGGATTACCGGCCATTGTTGATACGCACGTGCCCGGAATTCATGGCGTCAGGACCCAGGCCATTCAAATTCTTGGCGTCGTGGTTGACCCACGATGGATTCCCTGAAATGTTGAAGAAAGCATGGGCAAAGGGGACCGATTTGAGGTGCTCGTTCAAGAGGAAATTTTGTGGCGTCATAAGTCGAGTGTAGATTGGGTGAAGTGGGGCGACCTAAACACAAAATATTTTCATGCCCGCACGATCCGTAGAAGAAAGAGGAATCACATCGTGGCTCTGAAGAACTCACAGGGAGAGTGGGTGGAGGATCAAAGCACCCTAAGCCAAATGGCGAGGCAGTATTACATTGTCTTGTTCACGGATGAGGACTTGCAAACCTCCCCCATGTCCCATGGGTTCACGCCCATGCAGGTGCCGCAATGGGAAAAGCTGGGCGAGGAGTATACAGTAGAGGAATTGAAGTCGGCGGTTTCGATGATGGGACCACTCAAGGCACCAGGAAGGGATGGACTTAACCCGCTGCTTTATCAGCATTTTTGGGATGTTGTAGCTCCAGCGGTGCATGAATTTGCGAGCAACTGCTGGGTGGAGCCGCCGAGAATAAGAGATGTGAACGAAACAATCCTCGTTCTTATTCCCAAAGTTAGAAGACCCAGTCGATTTGAACAGTTTCGACCGATCAGTCTATGTAACGTCGCTTACAAGATCATAACCAAGTGCCTAGCAGAGAGACTGAAATCTTTCATGCCTGACCTGGTGCATGAAACTCAGACGAGCTTCGTACCAGGAAGACACATAACTGACAACATATGTGTTTTGCAGGAAGTTGTTCATTCTATGAGAGCTAAAACAGGAAGGTCCGAGTGGATGGTGATAAAGGTGGATCTTGCCAAAGCCTACCATCGGATCAGATGGAATTTTGTGAGAGACACCCTAGAGGCTGCTGGAATGCCGGACAAGTTCATAGAGTTAACTATGTAGTGTATCTCTACGGCGAGAATGCGCATACAGTGGAATGGTGGTCTGACAGAGGAGTTCTCGCCATCGCGGGGATTGAGGCAGGGATGCCCTCTCTCTCTCTATACATTTTCACCCTGTGCATGGAAAGATTGGGTCATCTGATCCAGAGCGCAGCGGAGGAGGGGAGCTGGAGGCCGATCAAACTCTCCAACTCAGGTCCGCCACTATCACACTTGTTCTTTGCTGACGATCTCATTCTTTTTGGGGTGGCTTCTGCTGCGCAGGTCCAAATCATAAACCAGGTTTTCGAAGTTTTTGGGAGGGCCTCGGGGCAACTGATTAGTAAACCTAAATCAAGGGTTTTTTCTCAAAGAATGTGACCAGTGCTACGAGAGACACTCTCAGTAACAGCCTCGGCATACCATAGACATCAAATTTGGGTCGTTCCTTGGGGGTCCCGGTCATTCACGACAGGTTATCGAAGACAATGCCTGATTATCAGGAAGTGGTTGACAAGATCGACGCCAGATTATCAGGGTGGAATGCCTCGGCTCTTTCATTAGCGGGACGCATCACCCTGCCCCAATCAGTATTAGCTTTGTTCCCAGCTTATACAATGCAGACGACCCTACTTCTAGCTAGTGTGCTAGAATATATTGACAAGAAAATTAGAGCCTTTGTTTTGGGAAGCTCGGAGACTGGAAGGAAAGTTCATTTGATTGACTGGCAGCCGTTGTGTCGGCCGAAGGATGAAGGAGGACTCGGAATGCGCGATGCGAGAACTTTAAATGAAGCTTTTATGATGAAAATTGCATGGCGTCTAAGGAAGGAGCCCAATAGCTTATGGGCGAGGGTGATTAGGGGGAAGTACCTACGTACGGTGGGAGACTCCATAATTCCGAGGACGTCGGGGAGGCTCTCTAATCTCTGGAGGGGTGTCTTTCGAGTGTTACCCCAAGTCCGCGATGCAACCTTGTGGAATGTGGGGAACGGGAGACTTACCAAGTTTTGGACGGATCGGTGGCTAACGGATGGCCCTACTCTAGCTGACCAGGCAGCGAACTTGCCCCATGAGGCCCTCTCATTGACAGTGGCCGAGATGGTTCTGAACAGGGATTGGAATTTGGACTATATCCCGGCCTTCCTACCCTCGAGTGTGGTCGAGCAGATTAAGCTTCATGGGGTGCCTCAGGAAGAGCGAGAAGATGAAGCCATTTGGTGGTTCACGGCAGATGGAGGTTTCTCGTTGAAGACGGCCTATGAATTCCTTGATGATACAAGCCTGCCCACGAACTTTCATTCTCCGTGGAAAACGGTTTGGAAAGTCCCACCTATGTAGCGAGTCCGAACATTTTTATGGCTGGCAATTCATGGTAGGCTTCTTACCAATGCAGAGAGACGACGCCGTCACTTGACTACAACAGATAAGTTCCAGGTTTGTGGTGGGGATGATGAGTCGGTGATCCATGCCGTCAGGGATTGTCCGTTTGCTAGGGAGGTATGGTCCACTTTCCTGGATAATGAACAAGATGCCACCTTTTTCCAATCGGATGTGAGAAAATGGTTCCTGTACTATTTAAAAGGGAAGAGTGAATCTGTGGATGCCTCCATCTTTGCGGTGGTTTGCTGGCTACTCTGGAAGAATAGAAACTCCAGAGTCTTTGAGAAGAAGATGTCTGCGGCGCCCCAGATACAGCACCAAGCACGGAGGCTACGTGGAAGAATCCGAGAAGCTCTGCTGGGGGACAGGATACACATTGATGGGAGTAGAGCAAGAGAGTGGAGGATGATAGGTTGGGACCCTCCCCGGCGGGATGATGTAGCGTCAACACCGATGGATCTATGATGCTCACTAGCAAGAGCTCGACGGCTGGCAGGGTGCTGCGAGACGATCAGGGGAGGTTCCTGGGTGCATTTACGATGAATTTAGGGGGAGGCTCCATTACTCGAGCGGAGCTTATGGGGATGTTACAGGGGCTGAAGCGGGTATGGGAGTTGGATTTGAAGAAAGTGGTCCTTCAGACGGACTCTAGGACGGCTATTGAACTGCTAGATTCGGCTACTTCATCTCACCCACACTATTGTCTGGTGTTGCAACTGCGTCAGATGATTCAATGTGATTGGGAGGTACGAGTGGAGCATATTTTCCGAGAGGGGAATGTGGTGGCGGACTTCCTGGCTTCTACAGGACACAATTTATTGTAGGGACTACATCTTATATCTATTCCTAGCCCCCAGCTTAAGTTTTGGTTGTTCTTCGACCTTGTAGGGAGCCAAACTCCCAGATTTGTTCCCCTTTGATTTTGGGCGCTGAGCACCCTTGTATTACAAAAAAAAAAAAAGATAGACAGAGAATTACAAGTTATTGAGAATCCAAATAGTCAACCAAATGTTGAACTACCGGTGAAATGACTGTTTTTGGCACTAAATGGGCAACCCTGTTAATAGTGTTATTAAAGCCGAGCCGAGCCGCTCGGCTAGACCGGTAAAATCGCCACCCGGTCACAAAACCGGCTCGGAACAGTCTAAAAACCGCTCCGGTTTTATGTAGCGGTTGGCGAGCGGCTGAGGCGGTTAACCGTTCGAGCCGATCGAGTCGCTCGTCTGGTTTTTGCCATTCAGCCACTAAATTTAATTAAAAAAATTGCAGGAAATTGAAAATTGAAATAAACCAAAAACGTCGGGCTCTCAAACCGAATCCTTATTTCCATTTCACAATTTTGAAGGAAAGAGATGAGCTCTGATTATGAAATGTCCACTATTTATACTAATAAAGTTTATTAGATACCGGTTCTCTAACGGATTTTAAACGGTCTAATGCCAGTTGGACCACTAAAGTGCGAGTCGTTCGCATTACCAGGTCATGCTCCGGTTCGGTTCTGACAACATTGCCTGTTATAACGAGGAGGAGTGAAAACAAAACGAACATACTCGAATGAGCTTCGTAGTAATTTGATTTCTTGTAGGACCGCCCCTCCCAAGTCATGATCTATTGCGCCATCCAGAACTCGGTGGATCACCAGTTGATCGTCACCGAAGAAGCAAACTTTATAGAATCCATGCTGCAAACGCCAAGACATAGCATCGCGAAGAGCAAGGAGCTCCATTAAAAAAAGGTTGCCTTACCCGTGTTGAACTTACCAAAGCACTAACTAGAGAATAAGTTTCACTCTTGCTTTCAAAAGCACCAGCACCTCCCACATCACGTTTGAGCGCTCCATCAAACTTTACTAAAATTCCTCCACGAGGACATGAAGCATCGTTGTGTTGCGGTGCATGCCTTGTTGAAGGTCGATTGCCTCTTGTGTCTCCCGTCGCCTCTCTCCATTCATCTACATGTGTCTTATATTGGCGAAACAGTGCATGGGGAAGGTATTGGATGTTGTCATAGGTTGCCCAGCATCTTCCCTTCCATATCCTCCAAGCTAGAAAGACCATATCTACAACTTCCATCTTTGAGAGCTGCAAGGAAAAGAAAATAGCATTCCAAGCATGGCCAGACTCAGCAGTGAAATGGCCAACTGCTAGCCGGACCTCCTCTCTTCCAGCCAATCTCTACATCTCCTTTGCCACCCTGAACGTGAAAAGGGAATGGGATGCCGACTCCACTCTATTAGAACTGACTGAGCATTCACTGCTACTACACAGGGTCTTCTCCAGCAAAATTAACCGAAATGGAAGGAAATCGCGAACAACTCGCCAAAGGAAGAACTTCAACTTAGGAGGAGGGGTATGGAGATTCCAAAGGTATTTCCAGAATTCGCCATTAAGATGAGGAGGCAGAGTAGGGAACAGTTCATTCAATTTAGAGGTTAGAAGATGGTACCCGAACTTATCTGTATACTCGTCTGTTTTAGAATAGTACCATATAAATTTTTCCGGTTGAGGGGTAGATGGTAAAGGAATGGACAAAATATATTTGATGGAATCACGAGTGAAAAGAGGAACCGGAATCTCCAAACTCCAAATCTGAGCAGGCAGATGGATAAGACTAACGGCAAAAGGATTAGTAAGGGATACACTAGGGAGAATAGACGAGAAAGATGGTGGGGATGTGGGCAGCCAAGCATCACCAATGATCCGAACCGCCAATCCACAACCAATTTGCCAACGAAGCCCCTTTCAGAAAAGGTTACGCCCCTTTAGGACTCCTTGCCATGCCCAGGACGGTCGATAGCCAAAAATTGCAGCAAGGAATGAGCAGTATGGGTCATACCGTGCGCTATAAATCTAGGCAAGAGTTGAGTCTGGCTTCTGACACGCTAAAACACAACACCAAACTGCGACCATGTGTAATCGCAGTCCGGAAATGCAGAATAGTGGCAAGTTTTATTTATCAACCTGGGGTCTAGATTTACTGCCTACTCCGTGATTATCTATTATCTAGCAAACTAAGTCGAGTAATTGTGATTTTAAGCAAAAGCAATAAGAAAGCAGGAAATGGTTTGAAGTTCTTAAGCAAGGGAAGAGTAACTCGAGAATGACTCCCCCTAGCTCCTTAGTTAGGTCAAGGTTGTAATTACCCTTGGTTGATTTACTGTTGATTAAACTGCGGAAGATCTGACAGTAACTTGGAATCTCTTAAGCTGACCAAACCCTCTCAGGCAGACTAACCAGCAGGCGACTAGCTTTCACCGGGAAAGACTGCTGAGGCAATAAACACAAAACTCGAGTACTGGAATTGGATTACAGTACAAAGCAGTAAATTGATCAACTCTCGTATAACCAATATACTACTACAGATTGATGAAGCTCTAACAACCTAATAAGATTCTATCTATCTTAGGCTGCAGCAGAAATTAAGCAAAGATGATCAGGCTTCAATTGACTCAATGAATCATGCATCAACCGATTAAAATCAATCAGTATATTAATCGAAAGTCAATATAATCAAGATTCCTAACACATGGAACTAGGGTTCTTCATACCCAAGTGAGAGAAGGTTCTACTCCATAGAGAGAGAGAGAGAGAGAGGAAAACAAAAATCAGAGCAATCATACTCATTAAGATGGGGATAATCT